ACCTCATTTGGCAGGCTGAGATCGAAAGGGGAAAGGGGAAGCGGTCTGAGAGACTTACAGCAACACCCACGTGTATAGACATAGAGGAAGTGGTGCTTCAAAAGCGATATGAGTGTGCTGAAGTGAAGGCATTCAATGCTGGCTACACCAGCTTCTTAGAGCTGACTCAAGGGTTGACTCCATCACCTCCTTTGGACATCCTGATGGCAACAACCCCTAGTTGAGAATGATGAGAAGATGCGTCGAACATTAGCCCAACTTCGACCTTTGACTTGTCCCCCCTTTCTTTGGCCGCGATGGCGAATATTGGCGAACCGCCATTGATGTGCTTGATCTTTGGGTGCCTTTGGCGCCCTCGCGCAAGCATGCACCACAGCGTTTTCTTCTTTTTGTCAGTTGCCAGGGCGGGCTGTCACGGAACAACCTGCGGCCGCGGATGCTCTACTTGGATTTAAACAAACGCGTGCTTTGCGACGAGATGCAAGGCGCGGGCCAAGCGATGTGTCACTGTGAGTGAATGGGATCCGGACCCCTGTCAAAAACACAAATGACAAGGTTTCACACTCCAAATGGGGTTGGTTGGGGTGGTTGAAGTTGATTGTTTAAATATGAATGTTTATGAATCAACCACATCTAATATATCATAATATATCTAATAAACCTGGTAGTGAAGGGAGGAACCCGCTGACCCCATTTTCAATGATCGCAGACACTTTCGCTCTCCGGTGGGACTTGGCTCCTGACTCAAAGGGAGCCGAAGAGGAGCCTTTTGAGGCGACGGCCTTCTCCCTCTCTCCCTTTCTCGCTCTCTCTATACCCCGAGAGAGAGACAGAGAGAGAGAGAGAGAGAAGAGAGAGAGAGAGAGAGAGAAGAGAGAGAGAGAGAGAGAGACAGAAAGAATGGAATGAATGAATGGATTTCATATATACGGAGAATATGAATGGGTATCTCTCATCCCTCTCTCTCGTATATATGGGAAATCCATCCATCCGCGTCGCTCTCCTTCGCATGCCGACGGATGCCGCATCGGCCAGGTATGAACCCTTGGAAATGTCGGGGGTCCAAGTGAGGATTTTTCTCCGAGTCTCCAGGGGTTGGATAGCAGCAAGTCCCAGCTTCATCGGAGTTTTGGTGCGACGAATCACGAACTTGTTTAACTCACTTGAGGCATCACTTGAGTTGTATAGTAAGGAATGCTTGCACACGAGTCACTCGATGCGTTGATATACTGTATAGAACAAAACGCGTTCGCTTGGTGAAGATTTGGGAGTTCGGAGTTCGGTGCAAAGAACAATCTCCAAGTGCATGAGACCCCCTTTGGATGTTGCTTCTTGGATGCTTTAGACATCTTTGGGCCAGACTTTGGCGCCCAAAGGTGGTTGAAATAGGATGAACTATATTTGAACTATTATGCTAAATATTTTGGATCACCCCCAGGACAAGTACCGGAAGGCTCAGATGAAATGCTCAGAAACAATTAACTGGGTCCGAACGATGGGACATATACCACTATCATATGCACAGATTTTAAGAGCCTTCAATAGCACATGTTCCTTCAGAGGCCGTTCTAAGAAACTGGTCCCTACACCCAAGGACTGATTTTTCATGCAGATTATGTATTTGCTCTTGCAGACTCCTCCTTTACCTGGTTTGACCTGATCCGGTCATGCTTGACATCATCGACCTCTTCTGAAGGCTAGACATGGCTAAGCACCATCAAAATGCCTCAAGCAGGCCCAGTTGCCTGTTTGGCACCTCGAACCCAGGTAGCGAGATCATTGCCGAGGGCACCGTACCCTGGCTGCCGCGAGAGAGCCTCACGCGGATCGACGAATTCCTCGAAGTCTCCCCGTATAGGCGGGGGTGGTTGGAAGAGCGCCCTTTGAAAAAAGATAAAAACAGACTTAAACAGTTGATAGACCATGTGCATTTGGCATGATGTCATGCGATGTTGCCCATTATTTAGGCTAGACCATGACAATGTCGATCAACATATAAATGGAAAAAAAGAAACGAGTGCATCAATTGTGTGACCAACTCGACAATTGACTGGTGACAACGATGTGAAGCACCTTGAAACACCTACCCGCCAGCTCCTCACCTGGGGGCGTTCCGTCACCACCTGGGGCGTTCCGCTTGGGGCGCCAGGAGAGACGATGTGAGGCCCTTCCTGTACCCCGAGCCGAATGAAACCGACTCTCCGGAGGAGCTCCGACCTGCTCCGAGTGTAATGCCGCTGGTGCCGCTCTTTGATTGTAAGTGTGGGTATACATGTGGTTTTTACGAAAAAGTGTGGTTTTTGTTTGGGGTGCTGCTTCTCCGATACCCACGAAGGACAACGGCCATTTTCCCGCCACGTTGCGGGCGCCCATCTATGCTGGTGGTGGGCTCGGTACCCAACCAAAAGACGGCACCCTGCACCGTCGCACAGGGTTCGCGTTCACCGGCGCAGGCACGGTTCGGAAGCGAGGGTCAAGCATTTCTGCGAGGACAAGGCTGAGAACGTGCGCTCCGTGGCGATCTTTCACATGAGATACATCAACGAACAGGCGACGACCGAGACGGCCGAGAGTTGCGAACGGTGTGCTTTCTCGATGCGTCGCACCGCGGTGTTGTTGAGAAAACGGAGGAAGGCCGACATCAAGGAAGCCAGGCAGCTGGTGAAGTGAATGCGAGAGGAAGCCCCAAAGGCCACAAGACATGAGCAACATGTGGAGGACCTAGAAGGAAAAGCAAGGCTCGCCAAATTAAGGATGTTTGATGCTTCCTCGAGAGTGCACGCCCTGAAGTGGAAAACCACGGGTTTGATGGTTTGTAATGGTCTGTGCTGTCGAGGAATATGGCTATCCAAAAACACATCCACTTCGAATGATAATTTAATTCCACGAAGTGTAATGTGTAATCATTGTGATTGGGTCAATTCTGAGGGAGTGTCTTTCAAGCAACGGCTCCAGCCATAGCGTGTTGCTCTTGAAAGGACCTCATCCACACACCTGAATATCGTTATTTTTCACCCTTTTCTCGGATGTTTTAGGTTTTGGGTGGATTTGTCCAGAGTCCAGAGCTAGATGTCACTGAAAAGCAGATGGTTACAGTACCATATCGATGCATCATGAATCATCATATCGATGCATCATGAATCATCATATATATATATAATAATGTTCATACGTTGCTTTTTTTGGCCACTCCTCCCCCCACCACAGTCATCCTCTCCTCAGGATGTAGAGGTAAATTGTCTTGCTCTTGGGGGTCAGCTGTATTGATTCAAAGGATGGCCCTCCTGCCAGGAGGTACTGCGACCACCGGGCATGTGGCACCAGCCTGTTGGGTGCAAGGGCACCAGCTGTCCAATTGCTTGTAGGGGCCATACCTATATTCATGAGAGTCTTCATTGGCCATCCAATGGATTGAGCTCGCCTCACCTGCCAGGGTGCAATCAATTCTTTGCTCATTAGCTGGCGCCATGGATACATTGGGATGGGATGGGTCGCATGGATTGTTCGGTAGCAGAATGGAACCCATTTGGAAAGTGATCCGATACGGTGCGCAGAGCTCCAAAGAGCTTCTACAGTGATTTAGCCTCCCTGGTGTCACTTTGTGGACCCTTTTGGTTGGCAGACCTGATCGCAAAATACACACTTATAATACCGTAATATCTTTTAATTGGAATCATTCCAAGAGATCGGGAAATCTGTAAAGCCGCGTGCTGTTCCCAATAATTTTCCCTGCGGCGCTTGAGCGCGGCGCTTGAGGCTCGGGTGCCGATGTTCACCTCACATGTATTCTAAGATCCGATGGTCGCAGTGATCGTAAAGTTTGGAAGAAAAACCGGAAGATCGATCCATCAGAAAGCTTCCCCCAAAGCAGGGCCACTCCAAGGGGCCGAACATCGAAAGCTCCGCCTCTCGAGTCGTAAGTCTTCGCTGTGCGTGTTGATCTTCCGGGCTTTGTGCAGCGCTGGGCGGGCGCCCCGTTTGCCAATCCAGGGGCCCCACAAAGCATACAAAACCTGATGTTTCCGTTTTGCTCCAAAAACCATGGTTTTTGTATGTTGAACACCTTTAAAGACTTTTCATGGGTTGGAGGGCCGCTGGAATGCGCTAAGGACGGTGATCCTCATCATCCTCGTGGGCATGGCCGGGAAGCACAGCGACTATGTGCTTTCTGAAGGGGTGGACGAAAATCAATGTCTGAAGCCCCTCCGCGGTTCCAAGTCTCAATTGAACACAGAAATTATGGACATGCCGAGTTGAAGCATGTACAGGCACTAGTTCGTAGGTACACCACAAGAATCCATGATCTAGTCCATGATCTAGTCCGTCTTCCTAATGTTGGATCCCTCCTTTTGGATCTGGCACTTCCAGGTCATGTCCCTAACCCATCTCCCGACCCCAACCCATCTCCCCCCAACCCGCATGCTGTCCCGATCTCCCGCTGTTTTGCTGAGTGCACCATCACCCGCGACTTGGGGCATTTGAGCCGAAAGCTCTTGGAGTCCGGGATGCCCAGACGATGAGTCGGCCACGGAGGAGGAGGAGGAGGAGACCGGACATGTTCAGGTAATATGGTGGAATAAGACAATAGTAGATCTATACAGATCAACATGATGAGAGACCATTGGTCATGATGTGATAGAGATACTGCCAAGCAACCAAGCTCATGCTTTGTTGCTTAATAGCAACCATTAAGGTCATGTGGGACCCTGTATGATCTGCAATAGCTCATGCGACCAGGATGAGACCTTTGAGTTCAGGTCCTTTGAGACATCTTGAGAACATCCAAAGACAAGAAGCCCTGTATGAATATACCACAGCATGTGGGAACCCACGTTGACACAGAACATCACTGCTCCCTTCTTGCAGTGATGCACCTGGGGCTTGGTAGTACAGGAATCGAGCTTATTGGTTAGCTCATGTCGCCTGACCAAATGGGACCCCTGGACACAGTGAACACAGTGAACACAGCAGATGTTTGAGGCCCCTGCGGATTCTGGCCGATGAGATGCAAAGTATCGCCCGAAGCCCGAGCGCTTGCCGACACCCGACACAGGGCTAGACTCACCTTCGGCTGAGCGGCTGAGCCTGAGGAGAGACTCCAAGATTCATCGCCTTTTGGGGGGAACAACGCTCTTGACTCCAAAGCCTCATGTTAGTGGATCGGAGTGCAGTGAACGCAGGTTTTGGAGTCTTGGATCAAAAACACCAGCACCATCAGAGGGTCACCTGGCTGGAAGACCCTACACTCACTACACTATATACTTGTGGATCTGACACCCCTTTGAAGGTCTAGGTAAGTGGTTGTATATCGATCTCTTCAGTCTACCCGTCGATTAACCAGACCTGTCACTCGGGCTGCCAAGACCTGGCAGCCTGTGAAGCTTCATTTGGCTTCCCGTCGGCTCAAGCTCTTTGAGCCAAGTGTTGTGCAACCTTGTGCCGGACTCCTCCCCGCGCGGTCAAGTATAACGAGTCCATGTCAAAAGAACACACAACACATGAAAGAAGTATCGAATCCCTGCTCCAGTGTGACCGTGACCTCCTTAATTAGGGCCTAGACGACATCGCGTTGGCTTTCGTGAGTTCTGCCGCAGACGCATAGTTGGCATGTAGGCGGCTCGATGGATCCTCAGGACGAGGCATGGACAGATGGACAGATCGTTTGGGCAGGGCTTTGGGTCGGTTGGGCAATCAGCCGTGCGTTTCTTTCTCGCACCCCAGTTTTTACTTCTTTGGTGAGGGGGAAGGCATTTGAGTGCGTGAGGGTGCTTTCCACTTGGTGAGTGCCAGTGCTTGTGCTTCCTCAACCGTCATTGGCACCGGCCGAACCTTGCGGCTTGGTGTCAATGGCTTCTCTCTCGGTGTCGATGTGAGTCCGGTCCGGGGTGAATTGGTCTCGGTCGGTTTGCATCAAAGGGATGATCACATGAATCAAACCACCGAGAGGACCATGAACGAACGGTTTATACAGCTGCAGATCATGCGAGGTTTCGCATGGCGCGATTCCCAACATTTATACTATACTATGCCGGGTTGGTGACATGTTCTTTTTCATCCATTCAACGAGAAGTTTCTTCTCCCAATCACACCTATATATAGTCTATAGAGTCTTATATACATGTTCTTGGAGACGTGAGAGTCAAAAACGGACATCTTCACCCCAAATCTCCACCCTCTGCGAGGCGGGGCTGTTGGACCCCTCCCGTGACTTGCTGCGCCTCCTGGACGACGACGACGACGAAGAGCCTTCGGCGCCGGCGGTGGCGCCAGCATCGGCGCCGGCGTCGGCGCCGCCGGTGGCGGTCGAGGCCCCGGCAGCGCCGGTGGTCGAAGCGGCGAAGGAGGCGGAGGAGGCGAAGCCGCCAGCACTGGCCGTGCTGGGACTGGTGGGCAGGAGGCCCAAGGAGGTCTTGGAGGAGATTTACTTGTGCCTTGGCAAGGACCTGACAAGATTTGAGATGTAAATTGATAGCATTACATCGCCTGATGTGAGATGTAAAAGCAGAATTGCATTGGCTTTGGAGGACCGGCTTCAAGAAATCTTTTTTCCTCAGGCCATGGCGGCCATGGTCATGGTGTAATTGATCCTTGCGACATGTTCTCCTCTTTTCAATCTCAGGTGCCAGATTGGTGCTCCAAACCTGGACCTCGGCCATGTGCAATGCTTCTATCAACCGGAGGACCCGGCCAACCCAAACATTGTCTCCCGTCGATGGTCTTTTGAGACGTCAGACCCTGCGGTGCAGGATCAGATGCTCTTCCTTTGCTTGGATTTGGCGATGCCCCTGGAGACGCATCAAGAGGAGGAGTCGGATTGATCCGTCGGGCGGTTGGACTCTGAGACCCGAAGACCGACGGGGTTTCGAACAGGTTTGCAGGAGGAGAAGGTCAAAACGGGAGGTGACGGGAGCTAGGACGATGGGAGATCGCGGGTGGGAGGCAGAGGTGGCCCTTGGTTTTCGCCTCTTTGGATTGAAGCAAACAACTGAAAACTGGTGCCCCACCCCCAAAACCTGCGGTTACCGCAATGCCACAGCATGCGACTCAAGCCGATCGGCTGCCAGACCCGACGTCCTTAGAGGACTGGGCCTTTCTCTTGAAGGCTGGGAAGATGGAAGTGTCGAAGCTCGAAGCCTTGCTCTTGCTCTTCAGTCTGTGCCTAGATCAGAATCGATCAGTGGGACAGGAGGCTTGGAGTGTGGTGATGAAAGGCTCAAAAAACGCACTTGGAACCCAGAGGCTCAACAATTGCCTGGATCTGTTAAATATGTGTGCATCCTCCCACCAGTCCGGACCAAACAAGTGCCCTTTTTTGGTCCAGGATCCACTCCCTCTTGCACCCGTCAGTTTGGTCACTCGGTCTTCGTTTGCGGTCCAGGGAGCCCATGAAAAGATGCCAAACCCGTCCGACGTGTCGGTATACCAAAGTGCTTTCCAGCCGAAAACGGTGGGCGTTCTTGAACAAAAGCACGCGCGCGTACCACGTACGGTCCGCGTACCGTATGGGAACACATGAGGCTTCCTCAGTGAGACTCTCAGTGATCGACTCTTCAGGACTGGTGCCGCGGTCGGAACCCCCCCGGTGCCGGTGCGCCTGCTGCCGTTCGTTGTGTGCGCGGTGTGCGCGGTGTGCGCACGCACGACGGACGTTCAGGTGTCATGTGGTGAACTGGTTCTGCAACGGCCGGGCGCCACGCTTGGACAGTGACGCGCTGCGACTCCTGGTGAAGGTGCAAGAGTTTCAGGCAAGATGGGTTCTTGCTGGATTGGGGGCGGTGATGGAGTGTGCGACTAATGCAATAGATTCTGTTGGGCAGGTGTGAGGAATCACTGGAAGGTGGGAATTTTGTCATATGCTACCCCCGGCTTTTGGGCCGTTAACTCCTTCTTTCGAAGAAAATAACAACGCTCCCCCAGTCGTCTTGGGCCTTTGGTTTCGGCTCAGATGGGCTTATTTATCGACTTCGGCTTCGGCTTTCGCCTCAACCGGTGTGTGTAGACGTTGCCCAGACTCAGACCGCAGGTGCACTGCGCCTTGGAGCACCGCTCCAAAACCAACGCTGCTCCCTTGGTGATCTTCGTCCACCGCGAGCTCCTGGGACTCGACCGGACCGGACCGAGTTTCGGGACCGGACTCTTGTGGGTGGGTTTTGCGGCGGCCGTGTTGGAATAGGGTTGGAGCTGGAATAGGGTTGGGGATGGGGACAAAAACAGCAACAATTCCAAGCAGAGACATGCCGCCTAGCCAGAGTGCACCGACAGTCAGTTCCCAAATGACGTTCACACGGACGGGCTTCTGAGCTTTTTCTCGGGGCAGCACGGGGTGAAGAACAGAGCCGAATGACCCGTATTTGGAGCGCGAAGCAAACCATGGAATGGAGCGCCAACTGATCCAGGCAGCAGATGAGATGTCTTGAAACATCCCCCTGATCAATTGGAATATGTATCTAATGTAGACTCTTGATTAATAAACCCTCCCATATGAAGAGGATGTTTCATTCAAATGGGGTGGTTATTAATCAAGAGTCTACATTACAGGAAAATGGAAAAACAATTGTTTTTTCCTGCAGATGTGTCCTGTGGAACAAAGCGACCTCGGAACAAAGCGACCGACCTGCTCAAAGCCATTTATCCAATGCCATTCTCTTCACAGCACCCTAGGGCTCCAGTGGTACCTCCCCACGTTCGGTATGACTGGAGCCTCCTGGCACCCACCCCAAGTCCCACCTTCTCAGAGGGTACGACTGGAGCCCTAGGGATCCTAGGGGTAAGTTCAGGCTGGAGATGCCCTTCTCACCGGCCGTGCCGGGACATCAAGTCTACGACGCGGTGGAGAAGGTCCTGGACAACAGGCCGGGCCGTCGTGCCGGGGCCAGATTTGCACGGTCGCTCGTCATCGCTCGTCTGTGGGTGGGGGTTGAGAGGTGTGAAAGCTTTGGAGTTCGTGGTGACTCAGGTGTGACACTGATACCGTCTCAGGCGCGAAAAAGATCGCCTTGTTCATACCCTTTGGCAGCACCCAACCACAGAAAGTACGTGAATTGTATCTGTATAAGGCTTTCACCCTTGGGTCCCTGTGTTCGTGTGTGTGCGAGATCTATTCTTAGATTCCCAACTATAGTTAGTTTGCCGTGCAGTCCTTGCACCATATTTTTAGCACATGAAAGCCGGACAACGATTCCCCAAGAATCCTGCCTGGCCGCTGTGAGTTTTGTGATGCTTTGCGGCAGGTGGCGAAACTCACTCAAGAAGATGAAGCTATTGCAAGATGCCAAGAGGAGCTCTGCCTCAGTTTTGAATGAGCTTTGCCAACCAGACGTCTTCGGCGAGGAACTTTATCGATTTTGTTCTAGTTGCTACCTTGGTTGCTGCCTTGGTTCCCAGAAAGTCGTGTCTCAGTGCCTTAGTGTCTTGGTCTTACAAACTGGAGTTTTGCATGTTTTTTGTTGCCATACTTGTCACCATTTGTCACCTCTTAACTCTTAACTCGTTCCAGACATCAACGATTAACTGAAAGAAACACAAAAAGAACGGTGAAATCCGCCACGGGCTGTGTCAGAAGGTCTGTGGATCGCACCGTGCTTTTGCATGCTTTTGCGTTTTTTTTCACCGTGTTTGAGGAATCGGTCGCAACCGAGTGGACGTGTTTTGTTTGGTTCTCCATATGGGGACAAGCAACGGCCCACCGCGAACGCAAGTAGCATAAGATGTATTAAGCTCCGCTGCCAACCAGTCGTATGGTGGCAAACCAGGGCTTGTATGAATTTGTATGACATTACTTTTGGGACATCAGCACTAGCATAGCGCAGCTATTGAATCCTAAAGAGATGTTTCAACAAAGGCGACTGCATCCAGCTTGGCGCTCGCAAAATGGCCTCGGCCAGGAGCCTGGCAGGGCTCTTCCGTGTTCATCGGCCCTGCGCGGTGGCCATGGGACGCCAGGCCGAGGGACGGAAGCGACTAAAAAGGACGTGGGCGGAATCAGGAGGTGGATCAATGTTCAAGCTACCAAACATG